TAGAAGCTCAAGCCACAGGAGTGCACCAGTGCAAACTCTAGAGACAACTTAAATTATGGCAAGATGTTTATGGGAAATGTGGCTTTTCTGTATCAAGTCCAACAGACTCCTTGATTCTTGTCTGCTGTAGCTCAAGGTGGATGCTGAATGTGGGTTAGGGGGACACAAAAAATAAGTACGTTGTAGCTGCTGGGCATCTCAATGTGTTTTTTGTATTTCCTCTTCTACAGTATTCTTTTATAATGCCAAATGAATGTAATATTAGTTCAAAGCCTATTTTCTCTTTTAAATTTTATTATAGTCTGAAATTGTGCCTACCATTGGGAGTCTTATAATAATTTTTAGAGAATAAAAGAAAATTATTTTAATTTTTGGATTCATATATTAATTTGTTAATTAATGAATATTATATATTATTTTATTATTAATATTAATATTAATTTATATTACCATACTACTTGCTTAAATATACTGAATATCACCATGAATAACACAAAATTTTGGGTCTTTCTCTGATAATTTAGTTGAAAATAGATTTGGGGGAACTCTGAGGGTTAAGCTAAAGGCATACTGCTATCTACTATTTACTTTCTATTTCAGTTTGTCTTGTGCTTTTTGGTAATCCTTTCATTTTGAGCCTTTCTGAGCCATCTTGTAGGTAGCTATATCTTAAAAACTTTATTCACCATATTTTGTCAATTTTATAATGCATATTTTTTCACATTTAACATCCTTAAAATTGGGATATGTTACAATAAATGGAAATAAAGCACTGTGTCATAATTTAATTGGTAACATTTCTGCTTCCTTATAATACCTAAAAATGACATATATTATAATCAACCATCTTATAATTAAATATAGTAACTGCATTAGGCATTTTTGATAAAATTTGAGTAAGCTTGTTATTTAAAAGTTGACTTTAATTCATTCATATTTATTTTAATAAATTATATTTCCTGTTATATCTGACATCTTATATGTTTTTCATTATGATGCTTTATTATTGTTTTTATTTTTGACCCCAGACTTCTGTAGGTTTTTATGTTTTTTTTGATATTTTTATTCATATAATGTTGAGCATTTGCATATTGTGTTTCAGCTTTATGAGTTGATTACCATTAAATAACTGGCAAGCATGTTTGAACTTATTTCTCTGTTAATATCAAAAATTAAACCTTGGAAAGTAAGCAAAGTTGTTACAATAATCACATAATCTACTAAGTATATATTCTTTATAGATTAAAGATCCATATGTAAAAATAAAATAATATTAAAAGAAAACATAGAAAAATATTTATATAACCATAGGGTTAAGAAGACATCAAAAAATGAAAACAAAAACCTAGAAATTATAAAGTAAAATATAGACATATATGACTACATGCAAATTGAAAAAAAAGTGTCAAAATAAAATGTAAAAGATAAAACTATAAATTGATAAAAATATTTGTAATGCTATTTCATATTTTTGGCTAATATTCAAAGAGCATCTAAAATTGTAAGAAAAAGCAAATAACCTAATAAAAATGTGTGAAAGGTAAAACAGAAAAGAAAATGAAAAGAGATAAAATAATAAAAGATATTCTACCTCACTAGCAATCATGAAAATACAAGAAGGGCAAAAGGACAAAGAGGTGATTTTCTACCCTTCATATGAACAACGATACTATTCACTGGTATAGAAAATACAAGACACACACAGCTCAGTATTGATGACTAAACACACCTACTCAAACTCACTAAGATTTTAATATTTTATGATTTCAATGAGTTAGAGTGAGAAAGTGACTTAAGAGCAAGTATCTAAGTGAAAGTAAAACACTACTAAGGTTCTCTTCTTTGGTGCAAAGACTTAGCAGGAAAAATATAAGCTTAAGTATGTGTGTATTAAGACAAAAAATTAAGGGCAAACTTCAAAGTGATAGAGGAGAAAAAATGGAACAAAGAAAACTCAAACAATATAACATACAGCCACAAGTGAATAAATAGAAACAAATAAGTATTCTCAAAAAACAATCCACAATCTTGGCAGTTAAATTCAATTCTACCAATAATAACATTTAATATACTATTTGTGTACACTTTAAAACTTCACAAAAACATACAATACATTTTAATGGAATAAAGGATGCCTATGAAAATAAGATTACCATTTACCTCTGAAGGGAAGAAAGATAACAGGGAATGAGGGTGGTAGTCAAATGATACGGTGTGGGGATCTTTAGTTTTATGTGTAATATTCTAACATTAAGATAAAGCAGGACATAGCATATAATATTAGTGTACTCACAAAGAAAGAAAGAAAGATAGATAGATATAGAGATAGAGAGATAAATAGATAGTTAGATAGAGAAAGACAGATAAAAGCCTAGAAGCCAATATGACAAATAACAGAGGTTAGTTCTGGGTCTAGGTGGTAGGCATATCAGTGATTGTTATTTTCTTCTTTGTACTTTCTGTATTGTTCAAATTTGCCATAATAATAAAAGGAAACACATGAAGATGAGCAGGTCTGGGGTCAAGATGAGAGTTTTTTTTAACATAGGGAGTTCTAGCAGCTGGTAGATTCCAAACTATCTATTGCAAAGTCAAGTACGAGTATATCGAAAAAGATGGCCAGCCAGCTTTGTACAAACAGCTGAGATTTACCAAAAAGTTTTGTAAATGGCGTCAATTTCTATAATTAAGAGGTTTTTTTCCCCAAATGCTTTCCTGACAGAATAAGAATAGTCAGGTGTGAGGAAAAGAAAACAGGCTTTTAGAATTGAAGGTTATAAAGTGAAATAATAGTCACTAAAGGTAGTATAGAATAGTGTTAATGAATAAGGACGTTAAAGTAAAAGCAAAACCAAAAAACCAAAACCAAAACCAAACGAAAAACCAAAAACCTAGAAAAAAGAAATTCACATTGAAATTTTGGCTCTTCTACTTAGAAACTATGTGTTGATATTGGTAAAGTCATTTAACCACTTAAAGTTTCAAGTTCTTTAATCATCTATCTGTAAAATGGGATCCCATAGTGCCTGGTACATATTAAACATCTCAATAAATTGTAACTATTGTCATTGCTACTTTTAGAAAGGAGAATGTGTTGAATAAAAAGATAAAGCTAGATGGGACTGAAATAAAATAAACTGAGTTCCAAAATAAAAGCAGAGGGGGATAATCTGTTGGATGACATATATTGAATTTTTATTTTTAGTTCTATGTCAATAAAAATAAAACTATTATCATTATTATATTAATTATATTACATCATTATCATTAATTATAATAACTAAATTATTTAGTTAAGCAATGAGAATCATATAACTAGTATATGTACTATTATGTTTTATAATCTATCATCTTTCTGACATTTTATAAACTTTCTGCTCTTAGACTCTGGGACATTATAGCGTTATTTTAAAAGGTCCATTCTTTTTACCATATCAAAATTATGACACAAAATATATTTATTATCTATACAACATAGTCAATATATAAAGTAGAAAAATGCTCACCAGCTATAGCAAATAATAATAATAGTAAATAGTTTTATGGGGCTTATTACTATCCAAGCACTGTTTTAAGCATTTCACAGAATTCCCACAATGACTTATGAGGTAGATACTATTACCAGCCCTACTTTTTCAGATGAAGAAACTGAGGCCTGGAGAGATTAGATAATTTACACAGTTAGTAAGAGACAGAAGTGGACACAAAAGACACGTAGTCCATCTCCAGCATCTGTACTTTTAAACACTACCCCTACATTGCATCTCTTAAAAAGACAGGCATCTCCTAACGAAAATAACCCAAATATCCATCCACTGGAGAGTAGGCAAATTAACTGTGATATATTCCTAAACCAGATAATTATACAACAATAAAAATAAATGAGCAAGAGCTGAAATTATCAACAGTGATTAATCTCATAAATATTGAACCAAAAAAGCAAGTTGCCAAAAAAAAGCATATGGCATACTACCATTTAATCATACAAAACAACAGCATAAACCATTTACAGATGCAAATATAGCTAGTAAAAGTATAAAGAAATATATGGGAATGATAAACACTAAATTCAGAATAGAAGGAGGCAATAATCTGAGAGGGATAGAGAGGAGACTTCAATATTTAAGACATATTTGTTAAGCTGGGACACAGACACACGAGTGTTCATTATATTGATTCTTCCATCTTTCTATATTTCAAAATAAACTAAAAATGACAGAAATAACCTAAAATACCAGGTTTTATTTGGTTCATAAGAAGCTCAAAGAAAAATTAAATATTCTATTATACTAAGTCAAAAATCGAAATATATTTTTTCCATCCTTCTGGTAATGTCATATTTTTTTCCAAATCCATTTTTGAAGAAGAGAAAATAAATAAACATCTTTAAAATATACACCAATATCTAGATAGTAGTAGAAAATATATAACAATATCAAGAGTAAGTTCCAGAGATAAAAGCCAAATATTCCTTTTCCCTTCTTGAAACTATATATAAAAATAAACTTCCTGAAACTTGATATAAAAATATCAAGCATAAGGTCTGCTGGATAATAACCAATATGTTGTAGCAGATAATGGTACCTGGTAAGAATTGAAATGTGAATACTGGGTGAATGTCATACTTTAAAAATGAAATAATTGTAATAGCTCTATAACATTGCTAGAAAAGTGTTTCCTAAACTGGTGCTCCATGAAACACTATTCAAAGAGAAAGAAGAAGGCAAGGTTTCTTGGTCAATACATTTAAGAAATACAGTGTAATAATTAAGACGCTAAAGACTGTGAGAAGTAGCAAGTGGTACTAACAGCATTACAACATTTGTACTAGTTCTGCAGAACTCCAATTTTTTTGTAAATTATGTTCTAAAACATACAACCTAAAGAAAAATTCAACTCTAAAATCATAAATAAAGCTGATCTACATTTAAAATGTATTTTAAATTGTTAAATGTTTTATGACTACCATTTTTAAATATGTTTATCAGTATCATACATACCTCTTAATCTTTGAGATTGGGAAACCCCATTTGTTTGAATTTGATCCTTATATCCTGTAGCCAGTTCTAGATCTTTAAGTGCAAAATTCCCACCTGAGAGTTCATCTACGTCCTGATCTACCAAGATGAAAAAACTTTTAGTAAATTAAATACAGAAATACTACTGAAACCTATCTACTGTGGCCTAATTCCAAAAAGATTATAATGTCTGAAGGTTAAGAAAACATTCTTACATATTACATGAAGTAAGAGGAGAAATATTATTACTCAATAAACGCCGGAAGTTCATTTGACAAATTTCAACGTCTATTCCTTTGAAAAGTTAGAATTATATATACTCCTAGACATTTACTTTCTTAATATAGATTATATTTCTATCTGAATTCAGCAGCTAACACCTTGATTTATAGTGAAGCACCATAAGATATTCCTATTATAATTATGAACAAAACAAGAACGTGGATCATTATCATTTTAACAATTTCCTAGTTCTAATAAAATTGGTAACATATGAAGTAGAAATTATGATGATTTTCAGCTAACATTTCTTGTCAAATCTAAATATATAGATCTTTCATATAGACTTTTTATTATAAAAAATTAAATTAAAAGAGATAAAATATATATCTTGGGCAAAGGGACTGCACATTTTCAATGTCAGTGATATCCATAGGTTTTTTTATTATAACTCATTTATATTTTCATATAGCTTTCCTGAAAATGTTTAATCACTATACACATTTCCCTGTAATATTAAGATCTGTTTTCTTACACTCTTCCCAACTGATATTATATACTTTTGGTATTTGTTATTTTATAAATAACAACTTATTGTATTATTAATATAAATCTATTTGATTAATAAGTATGAAAAATATCTGCTATATGTTTTTCTGTTGGAGAAATTAATTTTTCCTAACTTCTTTTAATATACTTTTTTATTAAAGAAATAATCTAAATATGTTATTAAATAATTTTATAGAAAGACTATATTTCATATAAAGGATATAACCTATTGACTGTCACAAATATTTTTTCTGGTTTATTGTTTGCTTTTTAATTTTGATTTTGGTGTTTCTGTGTACAGAAATTTTAAATTATTATTCAGTTAATTTTTAATGATCTTTCCCTTAAGTTTCTGGCTAAGAAGTCAGGCTTAGGGTAGTTTTCCTCAAAACAAGATTAAATAAATTAATCTTTATTAACTTTAATAAGGATTTGTTTTGTTTTGTTTTAATGTTTCATTCTCCATGGAAGTCATTTGTAAAGCTGAAGGTCAATTTGTTCAATAGGGGAAGATAAAGATCTCACTTTGTTTTTTTCCATTTGTCTGTTAAATTGATCTTTTTTTAAATCACTGGTTCTAACAACTATCATATGATATTCTTTGATTAGTTTCTGGAATTTCTAGTCTCCTCCATTGATCTAAATATTTATTACCATTATGGAAGCTTTCTTTCTTTCTTTCTTTCTTTTTTTTTTTGAGGAAAATTAGCCCTGAGCTAACATCTGTGCCCATCTTCCTCTATTTTATATGTGGGATGCCGCCACAGCATGGCTTGATGAGCCGTGTGTAGGTCTGCACCTAGATCTGAAACTGAGAACCCCAGGCCAGGGAAGCAGAGTGCCCGAACTTAACCGCTGTACCACCTGGCCGGCCCCATGGAGGCTTTTTAATATGTAATTAGGTCAGGTGACACTGCCCCAGCAGTGTCTTCTTTTTTTAATTTAATTATTTTGCTATTGAAATACATTATTTTTTAAAGATAACTTTTAGAATCATTTTCATAAAATTCCATCAGCAACAAAACCAACAAGCAACCGCTGGCATTTTGACTGGAAATAAGTTATTTACGTAGTTTGAAGAATCTTTCACTCAGAAGCCTGGAACATCTCACTGCGAAGTCAACATTTCTTTTTTGTCATTAAAGTTTGTTGTTTCCAATGTATGAGATCAGCATATTTCCTGATGTTTATTATCAGTTACTTTATCATGTTTTTGCTCTTGCCAACACTGGGGTATATAGAAATGTTGTTTTCCTCTGGCAAATTTGTGTTAGCTACTTTTCTAAACTTTCATATTGAAATTATACAGGCTTTAATCTGATTATTTTAGGTTTTAAAGGTAGAAATGTAATAATCTGTAAGTAATAATCACGTTGCAGCATCTCTTCTAATATTTGTAACAGATTGGATTTTTTCTTATTATATTGGTTAGACATCTACAACATTGTTTTCTTTGATAGCAATAGACAGCAATTTTATCTTGTTTCCAACTTGATTGGATATTTAATTTCACTATTAAATATGGCACTGGGCATTAGAGACAGATTTTCTTCATCATATTAAGAAAGGATCATTTGTTTCATAGTTTTTTTTTTTAACCAGGAACAGATATATATATATATATATATATATATATATATATATATATATACAGAATAAATGAAAATTATCTAAAAATAAACAATCAAGAAAACACACAAACAACATGTCTTTTTTATCAACAATTCATGTCACTTAAAGATCTGAAATTGAGAAACATACTGTCTCCTCTACAACTGTCACAGTAACAAGTACATGCTGTATGAGTAATCGACTGTAAGAAATTCTGGTAGCAACAGAGGGATGGTAGCTAAAGAGAGAGCAAGAGCAAAGAAGGGTTTACATGGGAGGTTAAAGGAAACAGTTTACTGCAAGGTAGAATACAATCAGATACTTCCAAGATTTTCTCTAGTTTTCCTGGAGTCATAGCAGAGTAAATAGCCAGAATATCTGGTTGAAATCCACTTCTAATTATGAGATTTTAGGCAAGTTACACTATGTCTCAGTCTCTTCCTCTCTCAAATGGTGATAATAATCATACTTTCTTCATAGGATTTCTGTGGATTACTTAAGTGTTTGGTATTAAATGTTCAATAAATAACAAAATGTTTGTCCTTCTTCTTATTGTAAAGGTCCAGATATAAAAATCAAAATTGGTTAGTTTAATATCCATTTGTGACTACATTCCAAATTTATTCTTCTGAATATGAATATTTATAGGATTTAAAGTCATTTGCTAATATTGTATCTGCTTGGGCAATTTTGTGTTTCTTAATTTGAGGATAATCTTTTGGTTTTCAGTCTACTGGCAAAAGATTTTTATCTGCCATCTGAACCACCTTCTCATCCACAAAATAGATGTCTGAAGTACATTGAAGAGAAACGTACATCTACATACATTTATTCTAAGAGCATATTGAAAATAATGGCATATTTCTTTTCTCATCTCGTTAAGCTAGTAATTTTCCATATTAAGTTGGATAGCTGAATAACCATCAATGAAACTCTTGCAAGTTGTGAGAAAGTTATCACATGTGAACAAGTCAGTGAACTAAACACAAGCTGTCATCCTTCTCCTTCTCCCAACTCAAAAACCTCAGGAATAAAAAAGTTATATAATAACAAACATGGGAAGTTAAGAACAAGGGGCTGAGACTAAGGTAGGTAAAAAGGTGCTAATTCCTAAGGAAAACATCTAGATATGAAAATACTTCAGAATCTTACGGGTATAAATATTTAATGCCATTGATACACATTTTGAAATACTAGAGTTTTTTAACTATTATATATTCCTACTAATAACATTGAGAACAACACAGCTTTACAACCTACTCCTATCTTTTGCCCATTTTTGTATTAGATTGCTATTCTTTTTATATAGTTTATGCATTGACCCTTTGACACTGTATTATACTCACACTAATGGTAGGTCCTGAAAGACAGTAGTAAAGAGCAATCCTTTTCGTGGGCAGAACTTCGGGCAGTACATCTAGAGCTCCACTATAGGTAGAACTAGAGATTGTCTAAGAATTAGATATACACTTATTTTGGGGCAGGAACTAATGAATTTATCCAGATGGTCAGGGACTTGGAAAAATGAAGACAAAAAATGATGACGATGCTGTGGGGAGATTTATGTCTATGACTTCCTAGAATAGAATGAGAGTGCATAAAAATAATTACGCTCCATGTAAATGTGCACAAGAATGTATTTACTATCGTGTAAGCTCTCAACTAGATGGCTTGTCCTATGGATGTCAGTCCGCCTCACGCCTCTGCTACACTGGTGCTAATTTCATGGACCTAAAGTACCAAGAGGCCAGGGAGGCAGTGATGAAGCATCTGCGGACACTTAATAATACAGAGTCTTTCTCACTGAGAATGTCTGGATTCTGCCAGTGCTGAGTGCTCAATTTGTCAAGAGCATTGGCCAAAACTGAGCTCCCCAATATGATATCATTTTCCAGGGGGATTAGGAAACCACCAGGTGGCAGATGGGTTACACTGAACTTTCTGTCATAAGAGAGGACAATGATTTGCCCTCAATGGGTTAGATATTTATTCAAGGTACTAATTTGCTTACCCTCTCTATAAGAATTTCTACCAGTATAATTGATAATTAACTTGAAGAATATCTTTTCTACTGCCATAGTGTCATATACAACATCATCTCTAAAAAGGGACATGTTTTATGGCAAATGATGTGTCACAACGGGCTCAGACCTATGAAATTAATTCGTGTTAGTACAAGGTCTTTCACCCAGAAGCAGCAAGTTTTATGGAAAAGTGAAATTGCTGAGTGGATTCTCAGTTACTATGATAACTGATAGGCAACAGTTACTATGACAACAGTCACTATGACAACAGTCTCCCTGAGAGACTACAGTGCTGATATACAGGATGCAATATATGCCTTAAACCAGATGCCAATATATGGCCCTATCTTCCCCAAATCCTAACAGCTCCATATCACATACACCTAGTAACCCACTTAAATCATTTTTACTTCATTTCCCAATGACCTTCATTAAGTGGATTACAGAGCTCCTTGTGCCCAAGGGAAGAAACCTCCCACTGAAGAAACAGTCATGTGTCCAATAAACTGGGAGCTGAGATGTCTCTCTTGCCATTTGGGGCTCCCTTGTCATTAAATCAACTGCAGACAAAGAGATTACTATACTGGCCACAGGACTGATTCCAGTAATCAGAGGGGAATTGATTTGCTCCGAATTAGTGGAAGCAGGAAGAACTATATTTGGAACCCACGGGGTTCACTGGATCACCTCATAATA